CGACAGTTTGAGCTTTATAGTGACCTGGTACGCCGGAGATGACAACAGCACCTGCGGAGCTGTCATGCGGGACCAATCCATCAGTGTAAGTGTGGGTCCTGTGGCCGTATTTTTCGTTGAGCAGCGACAATGTCACCTGTCGTAGGACCACTGTTGGATGAAGGCTCTTGTTCGTTATTCCGTGAATAGTGAGGTACACCTGTGGTTGTTGTAGGCACCACGGAGGTGACGCTGGTTTTGTTGCTGGAGTGAAGCCGAAAGGAAGGCATTCTTTATGGGAAGAAATAATCTTTGAAAACATCGCTTGTGGTCTTTGAAGTGGCAACACTGCAACATGGTGACCAGAAACTCGGCAGAGGTGTCTCATGTGGGCTCTGAAATTGTCAGTGGTGATGTATGGTTGAATTGGATGCTCTCTTGCGTTCATAATCGCCCCGTAGGTTGAGGTGCATTGCAGCAATCCGAAGCACACGCGTAGTGCTCTTCCTTGCAGACCTTCGAGGGTGCGGATGTTCGTCTTGCACGTACTTGCCAGTAACGGCAAGCTGTAGTGCAAACATTCCAGAAACAGTCCTCTGTATAGCTGCATCATTGACCTTATCAATGTGCCCCAAGATTTTCCGCAAAGGAACCGCATTATATCGACGATTGAAGTTAGCCTTCTCTTCATGTAATTGCAGTGGGCACTCCACGAAAGGTCCTTGTCAATAATCACACCCAGGAAGCGATGGTTCTTCTGGTATGGAATATTTGCCCATTGATTGTAACAGGGTTTTGTGTCAAGGCTCTGCGAGTTAACGCAACCAATGCACATTTCTCCGTTGAGACGGAAAGACCTTGCTTGCGGAGATATGAGCATGTCAGGATGGCAGCCTGCTGGACTTTTGCACGTACTTGTAGACAAGTTACAGCTGAAGTCCATAGACAAATATCGTCAGCATATATGGATATGACGATAGTACTTGGCAAAATTTCACGAAGTCCTACCATCACGAGGTTAAAGAAAGTGGGACGTAATACGGCACCCTGAGGGACGCCACGGGAGGTGTAGTAATTGGTGGTAGGTCCATCTGAGGTTTGTACAAAAAAGGACCTTCTCGTCAAATAATCCTGGATCCATTGGAACATCCGACCACCGATTCCAACAGCTTCCAACGAGTCTAGGATGACTTTATGTGTTACGTTATCATAAGCCCCTTTGACGTCGAGAGACAGTGCCAGTGGTATGCGCTTGAGGCTCTTGTGTTGCTGGATAAATGTTGTGAGATCAATCACGTTGTCGAGAGATGACCTACCTCGCCGAAAACCTGTCATGCAGTTTGGGTATACGTTGTAGCGCTCGAGGTACCATTCTAGGCATGTAAGTATCATCCTTTCCATGACTTTTCCAACGCAACTCGCGAGGGCGACAGGGCGAAATTATGTCAAATCAAATGGTGACTTTCCTGCTTTAAGTAGTGGCACAAGTCGACTTATCTTCTAATCCTGGGGAACAGTGCTCGCCTGCCATGAGTGGTTGTAATAGCTTAACAACTGTCCCCTTGCTTCCTGTTTAAGGTTGGCTAGAGCGGCGTAAATGATGCCATCGGGTCCTGGTGAAGATGATCGTCGGGAAGCCGCCAAAGATGCGTCAAGTTCTTCTATAGTAAAAAGATTGTCCATTTCGGAGATGCGGGTTTTAGGGATAACACTCCTAATAATGCCAGCAGACAAGGCGGACACTCCAGCGATTTGCGTACAAAACTCATTTGCCACTTCAAGTTGGGTGTGGCCTAAATGTAGGGCTAAATGCATGAAAGGATGTCTTTGTTGGGGAGTCAAACGCAGGCCACGAATAGTGCTCCAAATGCGTGACAACGGCTTCCGGGGATCCGATGATTCACAGAATGATTTCCAGCGTTCCTGTTCAAGTTTTTCTAAACGTCGTTGGACTTTTTTCTGTATGCGTCGTGCCAGCCTCAAGTCGCATATTGCTTTCGTCCGCCTGTATCTTCGTTCCGTCATTCGGCGAAGCACGCACAGTTTTTCCAGTTCAACGTCGAAATCTGAATGCTTGCCGGGGAACGGGAGGAGACCGGAAGCTTCCCTCATTGCCTTTTTGATGACATCCTCCAAGTTCTGGTCAGGGTCTTCACGGCATGTATTTTTCATGAGTCGCTGAAGTTTGGACCAATCAACTCTTCGTATTGTGGTCTTAGAAGAGGAGTTAGTAAGACCCCTTATTCGCAAATAAGTTGGAATGTGGTCACTCCCATGCGTTTCGATGTCTGAAAACCAGTGCACTTGCGACCGGAAGTTTCTGGATAGCAGAGTCAAATCCAGGCAACTGCTGTACGTAAGGCCCGCAGGTATGTAGGACATCCATCATTCAAGAAACATAGGTCATGCTTGGAGGTGAATGACACGAGGTTTCTTCCTTTAGCGTCGATTGTCGAACTACCCCAGATTAAGTGATGTGCGTTAAAGTGTCCAGTTATAACCCACGGGCCCGCAGTTGTTGTCAGTATGTCTCGTAGTCGTTCTTGTTCAAATCGTCCGGAAGTAATATGTAGACATCAATGAGTGTTAATGACACTTTTTCCTTTTTAACACTTATCCAGACATATTTATTGTCATCATGCGGTTGAACTGCATGATGCACATATTTGAAATCTGTGCGAATGTAAACAACCACCTTGCTGCGTTCCTCGCACGTTGAAGAAACGAAAGATTAATACCCTGATAGTTTAGGAGGTTGTTGCACGTTTGGTTCACATATAACTATTATAGGAATACGATTCATGAATATGTATTGACAGAATGAAGAGATGCGGGATCTCAGGCCTCTCGCGTTCCACTGCATTATCGACGCTTGTCTGACCTCGTTGCGGAAGGAGAAAATTGGTCGAGCCATGGTTGCTACTGGAGACTTGCAAATACTGGACTTAGAGCATCCAGTACTTGTAGTGCACTCTGAGCGATTGGAGACTTCAGGGTGCTGCACAGCTTTTGCATGGCATCCAGCAGTGTTCGGAACATTCTGATGACTTCTGTGTCCTCCTCGGACAGCTTGTCAGCGGCTGGCTGGAGTGATGTGACTGTCTATGTGCGCTTGGGATTTGCAGGTGGCTGTGATTTCGGCAATGAAGGCCAAACTGATTCATCTACAACAGTGCTGCTCGTTGGTTTGTTGACCGCGCTGGCCGCCTTCGGTCTGAGAGGCAAGGGCGGTGGCAGAGAAGGGTGGTGGAGTGGCACTTTCGATGCAGCGTCTGTGGCATTTTTTGATGAACTGCGGTGACAATGACGCTCTAGAGAGGATTTGTGTTACCAGTGGTTACCTAATACTACTACTACAAACATCACAGCATGTACAGACCTATCTCCTAAAAGGAGCTTCACCCCTAAAAAAAGCCAGGCCTGCGCGTAAGACGCAGCACAGTCACAGCGAAATCTAGAAGAACGGCTTTTTAGAACTTTTTCGGAACACTCATTGGGTAACTACTTGCAAGCATGCTTGCTTGATACCCGCTTAGGCATCATTAATTAATTTTGGGGTAGTAGGCCGCAATTCGCTATGCTATTTTTCGTCATTATTCTGAGAAGCGTGGTATCCGCTGAACACTTGCAAGGAATTTTGTGACGATTGTTCATGCAGTGGCTGACGACGGTCAGTAAATATGGCTGAATGGCTATGCGCCACAGTTATTAGGGGAAGAAAAACAAGCTTTTGTTATAGGTTGGAGCAATTGGACGACCCACTCGTTACGCTATTCGCATTGTACGACGACAGATTGTTCTGCTTTTAAGTCGCATTGACTCGATTAATTTCCCGTCATCAAGCCCGCCTAAGCCAAGTTTGCCAAAAAGTCACAGGCACCAGCGTAGCTTAGTGTTTGACTACTGAGCTGGCACCCAGCGGACCCGGGCTTCAGCCCAACTTTGTCATCGGGGCTAGGCCAAGCCTGCCTAAGGCAAGTTTGACAACAAGTTACAAGCACAGGCGTAAAGCTGTGGTATAATACTGGGCTGACACTGAGCGGACCCAGGTTTGATTTTCACTGTGTTCTTGGTGTTAATTTTTTTCTAATTTTGCGCAATGTGATTAAGAACATCGGCGGCGGCGGCGGACAACTGCGCGTTACCCTAGGTGTGATCTGATAACAGCTTTTGTTGTATTAGCTCTGAATAAACAGGGCGACGAGGACAGGCAACACAGGTTCTATATTGCACATGTCGTATGTGTGCTGTACTCATCTCCCTTCTCACTGAGCGCTAGTTTTCACCCATTCTGACATTATATGCTATATTGTCGTGCTCTGGGGCTATTTGTCGTGGTACCTACGTTTTTTTTAGAAACAGCTCTTTGACTAGCTTGTGGAACGTTGTTCCTCCGACTGAACACACCGTGCGCCGCAGGTGTTGGTGTGGTGCCAAGTAGGTCCCGCTACTGCTGTTTATTTACGTCATGCTCACCTCGCCGTGCGCGCTAACTTCACTCTCCCCGTCGCCTTCCTCCCACTCACCGCGGTGGTCACATCTGCCATCTCGTTCACTTGCGCGCAACACCTACCGCGAACATGTGACCACTACTCGCTACACCATTGACTCATCGGATCACGCGCATAAAGCCAGAAACACATGCAGTGATTTCGCCAGAGTTTTCGCAGCACCTTTTCTCTCGGCTTCATCGCGTCAAGACCGCAAGAGAGGGTGGAAAACCACATTAGGAGCGCGAGATCCAACCTTAGGTCTTTGTGGCACAGTGTGTTCAAGAAAATGAACCCAAGACCTGGCAAAGCAGTGTGCAGTGTCCGTCAATGCAGCAAGAAGAACTTATCCTGAAAATAAGTTTCATGGCTTATTTGCAGTTCTGAGGTGAGAAAAACAATTCACAGTACTGCAGAAAAGGTGTTTTTTTTTTGGTGCCAGCTGTTGAATATAAGAGCGTATACGAAGAAATAATTCTTGTGAAGGCATATTGCTTTACATGCTTACTGATAGGCTCCTCTATTACTCACCTACAAAAATGCTGGATGCAAACAGCAACAGCGATACTGCAGTGCAAAAACCCTCACAGCATGGGGATCGTAGCTCCATGAAACCTAGAGTGAAAAATGAGAACATTCAACACTTTCTCCTAGGGCAGAATTTAGGACTACTGTGCGTATTTGTGCCTATATTACGTAGAAAAAAGGGGATAACCATCATGAGTACGTGGAACAGCCTATAAGGTATATAATAGTTCAAAGGGCTTATGACAAGGAGAGAGCTATGTACCATGAGCGTGAAGAGAAACCTGGACAGCACCAAGCCTTGAGATGGTATTGTGCGTGCCGTGAATTTATCACCACAGACTTGCACGCATCACACTTATAAACGGCAGACCTGCCGAACAGAATTCGCGTGCCTGCCAATGGTGATAACTGGATGGCGCGCACTACACTATCGCGAAGGCTTGCCGCTGTTCGGCTTTCATTTGACGTTGATATTACATAAACACTACCATGCTGGGAGAGGCTGTCATATAGGCCAGTTTATATGAAACGGTACACTTGCTAAGTGGTGGTACATATAAGAACGAAAGTTCAGATGTTCCTTTTCGATTATTTAAGATCTGAGTGATAGTCAATAGTCTGAGACAATACAACATGATAGCGCGAAATTGACCAGGAAAGGAAGGGGCATTGAAAGATAAGACAGGGCACTGACATGCAACGAAGCTCTATTCACAAGTGATAATATATATATATATATATATATATATATATATATATATATATATATATATATATATAATGAGATCTAACAGACAGTAATGACAGACAGTAATGCCAAGGAATGTACAGGGGAAGGTATTAGAACCAATGGAATGTAAATAAGTAGAAAGAAAAGAGGGTGAGAAAATAACCAGCTATGAGCAGGAATCGAACCTACGACCTATATAATAATCGATGGTCGTTGGTTCGATTCCTGCTCACGGCTGGTTATTTGTTCACCCTCTTTTCTTTCTTCTTATCCACATTTCATTTGTTCTCATAACTTCGCCTGTACATTCCTTGGCATTATGATCTGTTAGATATTATTATTATTGTGTCAAAGCACGGAAAAACCAGCCCTTATGCACACATTTCTTTCCCTTATTCAATAACGAGGGTCCCGTACTGGCAGACTTGGTGTCATTAGGTTGTATACCAGGAACAATTGGTCCGCTGCCAGCTCGTAAAAAGTTCACGTGCTACGTGACACCACTCAGGCTCATAAAAAGAGTATTCCACACTCTCCACCAAGGCTACAGATGGCGCTGACTGACACTCACACATTTAAATTCACATATGAACCCAATCAAGTGTCTGGGGGAACGGCCGCCGTGATAGCTCAGCGGTCGGGCATCGAACGAGTAATTCGAAGGTCGTAGGTGCGATTCCGGCTCACAGCTTGTTATTTTTTCACCCTCTTTTCTTTCTTCTTATATACATTCCATTTGTTCTAATAACTTCCCCTATACATTCCTTGGCATTATAGTCTGTTAGATCTCATTAATATAGTGTCGAAACACAGAAGAAACGAGCCTTTAGGTATACAATTCTTTCCCTTATATATATATATATATATATATATATATATATATATATATTTATATATATATATATATGATATATGCACTCTTTGTGGCCATCAATTTTAAATTTTGCGAAAACTGTATGGAAACAGAAAATTTTTTTGTTCAGATGGAACCTACGAGTTTTTACAACACAAATTTTGACTATCATTACACTGCTTTTCGAAGATGCAGACACAAGGTACATTGAAAAAGTGAATGCCTTTTAAAATTAGGGAGCAGGCCACAGGATATATAGGCAACCTAGGCATAAAAAAGGGTGTCCCTTAGTACCCTGCCGCAATTTTTGTGAGCAGGTAAAATGTTATGGGAATACTTGCAGCTGTTTCTATTGTATTACGCTAAAACTTACATATACCGTTTCGCCAACCATGCCCCCTTAAGCCATAAAATTAATCAATGGATTGACGTGTGATGGTACAGAGAAAATCAATCAATATAGAATGCCTTAAAAGTAACTGTGCCGTCCTAACTGTATGAAGGTTAAATACACAAAGTTTTGCAAGCTTCCTCCTTCTGCTCGCGGCTTGTCTTATTTCGGTGGTGTGCACGCAGTTGTCGCCTGCACACATCTCTAGACGTGCTCAAGGTTGCCTCTCCGGTGATTTCAAATATGCTCACTAGATGGCACGCCACCACCCAAGGTATCAGGGAGCCTATAGAGACACAGACAAAGAAGTCAGGAAGCCTCTAGGAAACATAGACGTGCTAAGCAGCGGGGTGAACCGACATATGATGTTGAAAGAAAATGTAAAATCTTGCTAAGCTGTAAAAGGGATGCATCCCTTGTGATAAATGAAAAGATTAGAAGAAAGAGAGCTCAGTGTTTGGCAAAAGTACATAAAAAAGATAGAAAGGCAGCCGCAAGTTTTGGAAGCATCTAAACTCCCTAAGAAATGAGACAAGCCTAGAGCGGAGGTTTATAACTACAGCTGAAGGTGCTAGGCTAGAAGGAGACGAAGCTATTGAATATATAACAACAAGGGTGACAAAAAAATTTCAACAAAGAAATGATTTATGTGCCACAATAGACAAGACTTAATCAAGAGGCGCAATGGCTCCATTTTCACAACGAAAGTGGGAAAGGGCTGAGAAAAGGGTTCCCAGTAGTACATCAACAGGCCCAGAGGGCATTCCAATTATGCTGATAAAGACATTAGGTCCGAGGTCAAAGCAGGCTTTGATAGAGGCAGTGAGCAAAATAATATTTGATGGTGAAGTTTCCGATGGATAGAAACGTAGCAGGATGAGCATGATCTATAAAGGAAAGGGGGACAATGCTGACATAAACAACTACCGTCCTATAACAGTGACATCAGTGGTTTACAGACCAGAGATGCCGATAATAAAGGGAAGACTGCAGGCATGGATAGAGGATAAGGGGGTGCTGGGGGAACTGTAGAATGGGTTTTGGAAACACAGGAGGTTGGAAGGCAATCTGTTCTCACTGACGCAGTGCATCGAAATAGCAGAAAAGGAACACAGGTCCCTATGGCTAACATTTTTTGTATATTAAGGGAGCGTACAATAGCGTGGTTCAAGCGGAATTGTGGGAAATACTTGACACACTAGGCATGGAAGATGTAGTCACTAATCTTTTAAAGGATATCTATAAAGTTAACAAGGTAGTTTTAAAGTGGTAAAACAGGTATCCAAGCCTGCAGATGTAAAAGGGGGCTTAGGCAGGGGTGTTCCCTGTCACCCTTATTATTCATGATGTACCTACAAGGATTAGAGGCCAAATTAGAGGGAAGTGGACGGGGCTTCAACCTGTCTTTCGTCGAACAAGGAAAACTCATTGAACTGGCACTAACAGCATTGATTTACGCAGATGATAAAGTGCTAATGGCCGACAACAAGAAAGATTTGCAGAGATTGGTGGACTTTTGCGGTGATGAGGAAGATGGGTTAGATTTAAGATTCAGTAAGGGAAAATCAGCAGTCATGATTTTTAATGACAATGAAGGTAGTGAGCTTAGAATACAGGGGGTCACGCTAGAAATTACAAATAATGCATATATATGGGCGTACGGATAAGCAATGGGGTCGAGTACCTAAGGGAACACGAAATATACGGGACGACTAAAGGTAACAGGAATGCAGCAGTAATGAAAAACAGGGTACTGTGGAATTACAATAGGTATGATGTTGTGACAGGAATATGAAAAGCGGTCATGGTTCATGGTCTGACGGTCACAATGCGGTCTTGTGCATGAGATCAGAAGTTCAAGAAATATAAGAAATTAAGCAACGTGGAACAGGTAGGCTTGCTTTAGGAGCTTACGGGAATACACCAAATCAGGGAGTACAAGATGATATGGGATGGACATCATTTGAGGGCAGGGAAGCTAGCAGCAAGATAAAATTCGAGAAGCGACTGAGAGTAATGGGGCAGGAGCGTTGGGCAAGGAAGGTATTCAGCTACTTGCACATGAATAATGTCGATACAAAATGGAGGAAGCGAACCAGAAAATTGACTGGTAAATACTTGAAAAGCAGCAGGGGGTCCAACCAAAACGAATTATCGGTTAAGAAGGAAGCTGAGACCGATATATGGAGAATTGGCATGATTAGGAAGTCCACACTAGAGGTCTATCAAACATTTAAGCAGGAATTCGCCAAGGAAAGAATCTATGATAATACTAGGGGTAGTTCTCTACTGTTTGAGGCCAGGGTGGGAGTATTGCGAACCAAGACATATGAGGCCAAATACAGAGGGGTAGACACGGTATGCGTGCGTGTGGAGAGGAAGAAGAAACTGCCGAACACTTGATAATGTTCTGTAAAGGGCTTCACCCTATAGTTCAGGATGATGGCGCAGAGTTTTCGAAAGCACTGGGGTTTAGAGGCATGGAGTTCAAAATAGACTTTAAGCGGGTAGAATTAACTAGGAGGAGGTTATCTGATTGGTGGCTAAAGTCAAGGCACGAGTGAAAATAAACCCTTCACTGCAAAGTGCGTGTCCTCAACGTCACTTTCTAAAGGAAATAAATAAATCTAGTATTCGGTTACATGAGTATTATGGCTTGGTGGCGCTAGGCACCGCCCGTTCTAAAGGGTACAGCCATAACCATCCATCCATCCATCCATCCATCCATCCATCCACCCATCCATCTATCCACCCATCCATCCGTTCGTCCATCCATCCATCCATCCATCCATCTATCCATCCATCCATCCATCCATCCATCCATCCATCCATCCACCCATCCATCCATCCATCCATCCATCCATCCATCCATCCATCCATCCATCCATCCATCCATCCATCCATCCATCCATCCATCCATCCATCCATCCATCCATACGTCCATCCATTCATCCATCCATCCATCCATCCACCCATCCATCCATCCATCCATCCATCCATCCATCCATCCATCCATCCATCCATCCATCCATCCATCCATCCATCCATCCATCCATCCATCCATCCGTTGGTTTTCGATGGCCTGCGCCCTCAGCATCTCGAAGTGGATTTCG